ACAAGCCACGACTCTTCGCAATTTGCCAGCACAAGTACCGGCTGAACATTAGCAACAGCGTACGCGTGAAGCCATAACTACAAGCCACGACTCTTCGCAATTTGCCAGCACAAGTACCGGCTGAACATTAGCAACAGCGTACGCGTGAAGCCATAACTACAAGCCACGACTCTTCGCAATTTGCCAGCACAAGTACCGGCGGAACATTAGCAACAGCGTGTGTGCATGAAGCCGTAACTAAGCGAAGCGCGGTGAGGATGAGGAGGCGACGGCAGCCAACCAGCGCAACCAGTCTCTTCCAATGTTCGCAAACGGACGATGATGACCGCTCGCGTTGCAACCACGATCTCGCGACGCGACATCAACCTTTGAGAGACTCGCGAAGTGCAAAAAAAGAGTCGAGCAAGCGCGCGCGAGCAAAGATACGACCGGCGGCGACGTTGTATATAAGCGGTACCTGCTGCTGTTGTTGTTGTTGCTGCAGGGCGTGCGTGTGCTCGCCTGGTGCCGCTGCCGCCGCAGCCACCGCCGGCGGCGGAGGGTTGGGCACCATCGGGTGCGCGGCGACCACGGCCGGGTCCATGTGCGGCGAGTCAAACTCTATTTCGCTCTCCTGCAACAACGAACAACAAACGCACAACATGAAGCCGACAAACGCACAACACGACGGCAACAAACGCACAACATGAAGCCGACAAACGCACAACACGACGGCAACAAACGCTCAACATCACGGCAACAAACAATGAGTCGAACTCTATTTCGCTCTCCTGCAACGACGGGCAAACGCATAACGGTCGTGCGAAGTCGAACCGGTCACCTAGCTGTCAGCGTTCGGTGCGAATCGCGCCGACTCACGCTATTCCGTATCGATCTCTGTCAGCAGGTCGATCAGCAATGCATTCACACACACTTATTTATGACACCGGGGCCCAGTTGTCAAAAACACATCGGAGACGCAACTGTCACACATCGTGAGCAGTTGACACCACAGGACTGCACGCATACTAGGACAGCTGGGATTTTTTAACGTGCATGAAATACACGAGACGACGATCGGACGCTTCCGCGCATACACGCAGCATACGAACCGGCGGAAAAATCATAGACAATCTCCTGTGCAGAGACGACTTTACACGGAGACGACGGGCCTCTGCGTGAATGCTAGGATAGCTGAGGTTTGCGTACCTGTAGAAAGTTGTAGCTCCCCTGCACGGAGGAGATGACTTCACTGACGGGCCTTGGTCGTTGCTGAAAGTCTGCGTCGCCGGCAAAATACTCGCCGCTCTCGCCTGCGAGCTCCTGTAACCACGGCAACGCAATCAATGCAAGAGCTCAATAAACGCACTTTAATGAACTTCAACCGTAACTGCGTTGTTACTGCGTGAGTGTATATGTAATCTAAATTAGGATTTAGAATAGGAAAATCCAGAATACCACGTGTTCAGCCAAGTTCGTAAATATTATTTC